ACCGGCGCAGACGCCTTGTAAGCGTCTGACTTGTGGCTGGACGTCTGATCAGAGTTCAACGTGGTCGTCTTTTGGGCTCTGTCTTCTCTCGGATTTCTGAACTAGTGTACGAGATTGATGAATGATAGTCGTCGTTACATAGCCAGACCTCTTGGCATGCGAGATATCATCATGATTCACTGGCGTTTTTTGGAGGCGGCCTGCACGGCCATCAGAGTACCTGATTAGGAGAATCTTGCCCCAGCCTCGCGGCGGAGGCCGGCCGCTAGACCTCATAGCCCGGCTGATGGGTCAATGCGAAGGTCGCGCTCCGGAAAGGCGCGCGGAAGTGGGGCCCAGTCGTCCCCCGCTCGACCCCCAGCAGTAAGAAGCCAGAGCCACAAGCGGATGGACTAGTATTCAAGGGTTGGAGGTAACTTCAGTATACGAGTCTAACGCCTCCATTGTAAGAACGTCCACTTGCTCCTTTGGTCAGGCCGTGCTTGAAGCTCCTGCCTCGCCCAAAGGCGGCCCACTCTCATCGATGTGCTAGGTCAGCGTTGGTGTAAGACCTGATGGAACGAAAGCTTGAAGCTATGAATAGTTCGGCTAGCTGCCTGGATCGTTCGACTTCCATTCATCGTCATGAATCCGTTGTCTTCCATACATACTCTTACCCGTGGAAAACATCGTCAAAGTGATGCGTCCTGCTGGTCTTCTCGACAACTGGAAAGCGGTTCTCATCTAGCTACCTACCGAAAATGCTGACACATGCTTCCATGGTTCCGGTGGCTGCTGTGCATATTCCAATAGTTCCGAGATTCGAGGGGCTTTCTCGACGAGTTTGAACTATGGTCTTTTGGGAGAACGTAATGCTAAGTATGATACCCCGTTTGCTGCACGAAATTCGGCACTTACCTGTTGAAATCCGCAAATGCCGAGGTCAGTTATGCCGAAACCAGATTCTCGATCAGCACAATAACGTATAAGCTCGAACCTCAAGTCACAGCAACGGCCATCGTGACCGGCTGGCAGACCGTCTCTGTAATCACAATCCCCTAGCATCGTTACGATCAGAGCTGCGACACCCGTTTCGAAACGAGACTCCGCCCTGAGAGAGGACTAGACAGCTGGAAGCCGAAGGTCAACGTACAGAAACATCGTGCTTCGCGTTTGTTCGCCTATTGAAATTTTCTGAAGGGCTGCCGGGAGGAGGCCATGGTAGATCGAGAGTTATGACACGTTTTCGACGTGATATCTTGTACGAGAGAGCCCGGCAGCAGGATATACTAAAAGTTCATCTGGGTTGGATCTCCCCAGCCTGCGCGTGAACCCAAGCAACCACAGTATTGTGCACATGTCGCTTCCCGTCTCGCGAATATTCTCAGTGTTTATGAAGCCTCAAACTGCTGTGATGGGCTTCCGCAGACCTCTGGTAACGGCTTAAGCGACTGGTTTGCAAACAAAAACGTGGGTCAGGATGGTATACGACAGTGCGAGTGGGAGCGTGCAATTGAGAGCTTCTTGAACATATCCGTAATCGGTTTTGACAGTGGCCATGTTCTCCTAATGATGACTATGGTGGCTTGTACATAGTAAGAACGACTCGAG